TAAATTTACCCGCCGCTTTTGTATGCCTTGAGTCGGAAAGAGGGGTAAGCATTTCTGACATCATACGGACTGCACATACAGTAGGGCGTCCGTAGTGTAGGCTAAGCACTGGTAAAAGGTATAAGGACTGGAGTGTCTTGAGGAAATAGCCGGCTTATGGTTATGGCAAATCTGGGGCGTCAATTTACCACCCGCTTATCTATGCCTTCAGCCGGAACGAGGGGTAAGCATCACAAGGACTGTGCATACACTAGGGCATCCGTAGTGTAGGATAAGCGCTGGTAAAAGGTGTCAAGAATAGAGCGTCTTGAGGAAATAGCCGGTGTATGGTTGTAGCATGTTGTAGCAGCCAGCAGCACCACGCAGCAGCAGCGCCGCGCTCCTCCCCCAAGAAAAGGGGTCGGCGGCACCAGGGCGGAGCCCTTACTATATACAAACTTTACACACATGGTGAGGATCAGCCTCTTCAAGATTTAGCATGGTAGGGTCTCCAACTTTTGTCTGACAAGACTTTCCATGCCATAACGGCATTCTGCCTTACATGCTTTTAAACTTTCTTACCAAGCAAGTTGCAAATTGTTGAGCAGCTCATCCCATGAGTGAAGCGCTTTGTCACTATCCATGTCCAGGGTGCGCTCTTGAGCTCCCAAGGGAGCCACAGCTGTCTTGATTGTTGCAGGAAAGTGGGTGGTTTTGGCTTTCTTGGCTATGTTGGAAGCCTACGGAGTGGCTGATAAACAAGTGGTTTAAACTGGTTTAAAGGCCTTCAAGCCAACTTGTTTCCTTCTTACTTGATCGGTGAACCAGAACTGGCGCGAAAGAAACGGCAATCAATCATGCTTGCTTGTTTGAGCCCACTCCACAACGACCAGCAAGTCAGCAGAATAAAAGTCCTTCCTTCCCCAATCTTTCTGATCACACAATTAAGTATATACATATATATATATATAATGGTCGGTTTCTATTGTTCGTGCTTTTCATCATTTGCCTCAAGGAGTTTCCTTTGTCGGCTATTCTCCTGCATCTGGTAGTTGTTAGGCAGTGTCTGTGGTTGAAGAAGACTAGGCTGCCAGCAGCGTTTGCCTCCGGCCAAGCTGATCCTGCTCTCACATCACTGAAGGATACTTGCAGGTTGCACAGGTATTGCAATCACGGCCAGATGTGCAGCACCGGTGAACATTTGCAAACAGCAGCACCAAATGTGAGGTGGTGGAAGCAGCAGTAGTCAGCCAAAAAACCTTGATAGGAAGAACTATGAATACATACTGTATATAGTTTGAATAAAGGTACAATAATATGTGTAAAGAGTGAAAGAACCAAGCATGTTTGTCAGATTTTGTCAGCCATGGCAAGGACCTGGCAAGCACCTTTCTCGATCATTCACGGTACAAGCATGTGAAGGCCGTGTTCCACAATCGTTCCAACCCATGCCACCTGTTTAATCTGGGATGCCCCCTCCTCCAGCGCTAAAGCCAGCAAAGGAAGCACTTCGTCGGAGCAAAGCCTGGGGACTTGCTCCCTGCACATGTTTGACTAGTGAACCCGACAACACTAAGTCACTGCGTGGAATGTTGTACACAATGTGGCAACACAATGCCGAAGCTGAAGCAACAAAAAACAGTACGCCTGAAGCGCTGAAACCAGCACCCCTTTGCTTGTTCATTGCATACATATGCAGTGCATACATTCTTAAGAGCGTTCAAGGACAAACATACCACAATCGCAAACACATATCCAAGCAAATTGCTTGATGTATGTAGTGCGGAGTCGAGGCGTGCATTTTCTGCGGAGCAAAGGGTCCTGATCCATGACACGTAAGGAAAGCCCTCAACGCTCGGGTCTTAGTCTGTCTTCGTGTTCTCGAGGTTTCGGAGGTGCATTTCAATGCATATCAGACTTTCTGAGTCTGAACAATTGCCGTGGAGTATCAGGATGTATCAGGGTCAGGCACAAAATCTCAAAAAGTACGCACAACAGGAGCTGAACCTACAATTGCAAGCTGCAGGTGAAATGGAGAAGTAAGCCGAAGCCACCAAGATGCTTAACACAGAAAATCAATCATGTTCTGCATATTCTGGTCGAGTGACGGCTCTCCCAGGTACTCAGACTCGAAAATGCGATCTGCAGCTGAGAGTGCTTGAGGATCTACCAGCTGTGCTGCGTCTTGGCGCTTCAACGCTATCCTCATCTCAAACAATCATAAAGAAAAACGTGTGCTGGTCACATGCATTCTGTAGCTTAGTAGCTTGGGCAATTTCAATTGTGAGCTTGGCTGCGCACCATTGATGATGCTTCAACATCAATGACCTGAGTGTGTTGTTGCCACCTGCGTCGATCCAAAATGATTTTACATTATTTTACTATCTGGGCACTAGTCTGCAGAACCTGTCAGCCTGTCAGCCCAAATCAATTCCGGCCAGCCCACCACAAAAAAGGACGCTTCACTGCATGTTTGTTTGAGAATTTTTGTTTTACGCAGGAAATGAGGTCTATACAACACCTCATCTCCAAAGACGTGATATATCCCGTTTGATGCAAACGGGCAGCTGCAAAGCAATATGATCATGCACAAGCAAGCCAAAAATCAATGAATTCACCGTGCATAGTTATGCCCGTTGTTTTGGTCTTTGAATGTCTTACACAATGAGCATAATATGTACGTATGAGCTGACCGCCAACTGCAAAGGTCCTTGCTGCAAAGGTTGATCTTTCATGATAATGTTTGGTTTTTCAGCTTGGATGTAGCCAGGATGGGTGTAACTTGGTTGCTTGCCTGGCCCAATGTGGCTCAATACCTCAAGAAGGGGTCACGGTGTGGCACGGCCCGCTGCTATACAATGTTTCAATCAAATACGCTGGGGTCATCGATACCAGTGATGCTGCTCTGCTGAAGGTCGAATCCAAACAAATGCAACCAAAGTGCCATGCGCACAATCGTGAGGCACGTCCATGTCCCGCACCCCTGCTGGGCAAATGCGAGACCTTAACAAGCCCTGCTGGACTTGTTTTCACCAGTGTTCACTTGCTTTCGCAAACCCAATTCTTCACCGACAACATCTGGAAAGCTGCCTTGGCTCCTGACAGCACATCACCTTCCAACAAGGCCTTCCTTGCAGGACTTCTAACTTCCGTTAAAAGCCCTTGCGGCATCTTGTGGCCAACCCCCCTGGAACCGTCTGGTGTTGCATGTCTTTGGGTTGGACTGCAAATGCTTGCATCATTCATCTTGCATCCTTGCATTGTATCAACAAACTTGTTTTTCTTCCTCCCTCTCAGGCACTGACAAAACGAGTCCTCAGGCGGAACACCCCACACAGAAAATGTGGTGCAAGACCAAACCCGCAAGTTGCAGGGCATCAAAACTTGGGACCTCGCGGACTGGTTGCAAAGGTACGGCCTTGTGCCAACGCCAACAGAATCATGCGCGCCCGCACACAAACAAACGAAATAACGAACGAACGAGCGAGCAAACGACCGAACCGAACTGAACCGAACCGAACCGGGCCGGGCTGAGCCAAGCAAGCACGCACGCATGCACGCACCCACACGCACACACACACACCGAGGAACTGCAAGCTGACCTTTTCTCAAGAGCACACTGTTTTTGCGAGTGTGCGCAAACCTGGTCGACAACACACTACATGTTCGGGCTGCTTCAAGACGCAAAAGTCTAACATAGTCTAACTTCAGCTCAGTTGAATAGAAAAAGCTGAACCTCCCAAGTCCTGAGATTGGCACAATGTAGGCTATTGAGTCTACAGTGCTGATATTATATGTGCTGATATGATATGTTCTTCAAGCTGTTGAGCACAAATCATCCGTAGGCTTTGAGCTATTCAGTGCTTCCACCACTTCAAGTCACCTCCCGAAGCAGCTAAAATGGTTCACTAGCGCTTGGCTCTATGACTATTTACAAACAGTACGAGGATCTTGCAGGCTGCTCACTGCTATGCAATGCTATGCCGCATCCGCAAAACACTGAAGTCACTGGATGCTTGGTATGGACGTTGACCTGCCTCTGTACAGGTTGGGTGCTAGCGAAGCCTCCTACTTTGGCCAGGGCTTTGTCGACCAAATTAAAGTGCTTGCCAAGCCAACTTCTGCTAAGCCTTTCAAGCATTTTGGTAGTCACTAGTCCTTTGCTCAAACCAACTCTATACTCTAGACTCTATAGATACTTTGCGCCGCTTGGCTTGACATTGGGCTCTTCTTCGAGTCCCAAAATCTAGCGTTTCGGCAATGCAAAACACGTCGGAAAGGTCTGAACAGCAATGGTCCCTTTGAGCCATCTCCAGAAATTTGAACACTTTTCTTAGGCCTCGGTCCATGCGAGGTTGGAGTGCAATGAGTTGCTTCCCAGCTTGAACAGAAGAAAGGGCAAGGAAAGGATGTGAAGGGCCATCCCTCCTAATCCTCCTAGTTTCTTTCCTTTTGGGTTTCATGATGCCTCCTTTTGCTTCATGTTGCACATTGCGCATGGGCACGAAGCCAAAGCAAGTCTTTGCAATGGCACTTTCCACGCTGCTTCTATGATCTGCGTGCAAGTGCAAGACACTCACTCATGATGTTAAGAGCCTCTCCGAGGGTCTTTGTTGTGCTGTCCCAGTCTGAAGGGAGCAACACAGGAACAAACTCGAGAATGGGCATCCTACCTCTGTGTTTCATAAGTCGGAGCCGTGTGCCGTGTGCCATGTGGCGGTGCTGTGGATGGAAAATGCCTTGGACTTGAGTAAGTGCAACTAGCACAATCACAAGAACCTCTTTGATTCTTAAGATATCTTGAAAAGATGACATGTGCACTAACAATTGCTACATTCTAGCATGTTTTTCTGCAGGAATGTGTAAATGCTTAATGCATTCTTTATCTGAAGCCGATGTAAAACTCAAGTCACGGGTGTGAATCCTTTGGGTTGAGCCTGGATCCTGGCAGAGTGGCACGGAATGTTGCGCCGAACCACAGCGGACCCCCACCTTTCTCACCTCTGTACAACGGTGGCATCTCAAAAGGACAACTTTTTCAGCACCAAGTCGTAGCCCATCAGGAACACCTGAGTCTTGCATCGTTGAAGATACAACATTTACCCGAAACTTTACATTCTTTTCTCAATCTCCCCTGGGCTTCTTCTGCTTCTTCTTTTTCTTCTCGTTCTTGCAAACTGAGCCCCGAACAGCGCCTTGAAAACCGCTGGATGCCACCTTTGTTGGAAGGCCACGCCCAAACAGGCCTCCGGGAGCGGCAGCTTCGTCAGCTCCCGGCTTTCGTCGTTTCCCTTTGGGAGTGCTCTCGGGTCAAAATCTCTCCCTCTCTCTCTTTCATGGAGTCATGCTCCGCCTCGTACGCCATCCTGTCTGAGCAGTTCTTTGGCCGCGGATGTGTAAGTCATGTCTCTACCTGCGGTCTGCTGCAACGTTTTCAGCACCTTAGGAACTTTCAATCAAAACACACATGCAAGGGTAAAGGCACTCAAGCAAAGGTTGGCAGTGCAATGATCCAGTCACGCCAAAGTCGATTTGCTAGCTGCTAGCATGTAGCTGCCGCTAGCCAAGCAACCCGAAGAAAATTGCTGGAAGCGTCGCCAGCAACATTGGCTGCGAAACCTATGGTTGCACTCCTTGCGCTCGACGTTTTGATGAGTTTTTCTGTATATTTTGGCACCAATTAGACTCATGGCCTTCGGTTGTCTATGTTGTCATCGCTTTTAAACTTTTGGTTGTTCGCTATATCGCTTTACAGTGGTTTCGGATGCCTGTGCCAATTTGACACATGGATATGATATGGGTAGAGGCGGAGAAAAGAGGGAGAGAGAGAGAGAGAGAGAGAGAGAGAAAGAGAGAATTCTATTCACACAGCAGCGCTTCCTTTCCCCTTCACTGCACTGCCCCAGCACTTTACTTTCAGAGCGCTTCATCTGTGGCATACACAGATTAGAACATGATACAAAAGAAACTCCCGCTCGTCTAGACACCATCTTGATCATAAAGGGGTATCGCTTTGTTATCGCTTTGTGTAAAGCGGAAATTGCCAAGCCAAGAAACACCATACAGGAAATTGAATGAAATGATGGTATCGCGGCTGTTCACTATATTAATATCGCTTTACTAGGTTTCCTCATGAGTTCTATGCAAAAGTTCCTCTCACATAAAGACTTGTGACCGGACCCTTTTGGCTGTTACTCAAATGCTTTCGCATAGTTGACATGCCACATTTGCAACTGTGGACATTGCTTGAGTGCTGTGGGATGATGTGTTAGAATTTCTGAACCGGGTGCTCTGCACACTATGGGAAAAACCTCGGAATCATCGGGATTTGGAATTTTGATCAGCCGCAAGCACGCCCAATCAAGCCCAGTATTCATTCCTACTTCTTCTGTTTAAGATGACTGTACTGAGGGATACTGAGGGCATATTGGGACAAAAGTTTGGATAGTCTAGCAAGTCCTTAGTCTAGCAGTCTTGCACATTTTGCTTGCGCACCATCACCAGGGGCCCACTAGCACTAGCAGCAACTTGCTCCAATTGATCGTCAAGAAACCCGCAGCTGCGCCTGTTTGGTGATTTGGCTTGACAAGCAACATGCATGATTAGTGATGATTAGTGCAAACCTACTCCCGTGACACTTCATTTTTAGCAACCCTGTCCTGGCTGTTTCAGAATCACGAAAGGCAGACTTGGGAAGGACTTCATGCAACCAATTGTTGGTCCAACACCAGGCATAGAAACCGGCCCAAGTTGATGTCACACTTCCTGCGTAAATTATCTCACGAAATCAGCAAGAAGGTGCTCGCTCCAGCTTGCTCCATGAGAAACTGAACAGTTTATCAACGCTAATGCAAAAAAAATACAAAACAAATGCGACAGTTCAGAAAACACCCGGTTTGATCAGGAACCAAGTCATTAGGGCTCAAGTTTCTTTAAGGAACCGCCCTCCCGCCTGTCTCGGCCTGGTACTACTTACTTGCTTAGCTACTAACACTTACCTTAGGATACCACCACTCTCGTGGCTTACCCACAGCCTTAAAACAAACATGAAAACGATAGGACCTTACGAACCCGGATGCACACAAACGTACGCAACCTAAAAGACCAACCGTTGTTTAACACATGGGCCGCGCCTTATTGGATTTTGGCTAAGCTCCCAGGTGGCATTTACATGCACTTAAGTTTATTATAAAAAAACAACAAGTCGTAGGGAATCCTAACTCCTGAACAACAGAAGGGCACTTACTAACAGGTTACAACGTCTTTTTCAGTTAGCTGTGTGTTGGCTTGGCCCAATGTTCTTGTAGTTCTTTGTCGGGCATTCGGTTCTAGGAGAAAGGGCCAACCACAAAAACCAAGGGATGTGAAGAATGAAACAATGATGACCACCCCAAAGTTCATAACAATTTGGATCTTCTGCACTTTTCGAAGGCCAGCTCAACAAACCAAGAACATATTCCAAGGGTATTTGACCTCCAGAAGACCACAGGCTTGCTGCATTTCTAGGGCAGGCATAGCAAAGGCCAAAAATCATTCCAGGGTTCTTGGCATCTCACATGCCCTCGGAAACATTCTGTCCAAATGCCCTCCTTACGAATATTTTCCAGAAGGTCCATGTCTGGGTCCAAGACCAGGGCGAATGAGAAAGGGTCAGCCACAAAACGGTTCCAATAAATGTGAGAACCCAAGCGAGCGTGACCACTACAAGTTCATAGCACAATCTTGATTTGTTTCGCCTTTCTAGGGGCAGCGCAGCCAGGCCATTTCTTTTTTTTCCAAGGGTTGGCGACCTCTCAAGCAACGTGATCGATTATGAAAGAATCTCTTGCCTTGGTCATTCTTTGGAAATGGATGGACATGGTATTGTTCTCCAAATCTTCATGTATCTTTCATTCTGTCCAAGGTTGATTCTCTCCTGTCCAGAAGCCAAACATAATTGAACAACGTTACCTCCTATGAAAATTGTTCTGCAAAATCATCCATGCCCCCCCCTCCCCTCAAAATTGTTCCTAGGTAATTGCGCGCATCTGTTCCTCCTCACAGGCTCTCCAGCGATTTCCATCCTTTGCATATTTAGCAACAAATGTTCAAGGGGATTTGACATCAACATGTACTATTCCGATGGTTGTCGAGTTCAAACTTATCATATGAATCATGTGTAGCAAAAGAAATTCTCAAGGGGGTCAACATCAAAGGGTTTGTCATCCAAAACAGGGGACCACCAGAGTACATATTTCTATGTGTTTGCATTAATGGAATCTGTCTGAATGTTCTTTGTCTATGTGCACCGTAAACATTTCACTGGTGTCTGCCTTCATGTCATGTGCACCTACAAGCTGCCTCAATGTCAATTGCATTGAGAAAACAACAACATCTCGAGACAACCAGCAAACAACAAAATCATAGAGAAACAAAAACCAGACTCTGGAGGTATTTGCCGTGCCTCACCTTGTCTGCAAGAGTACTGGGGAGTTGTGTTGTTTGTTTTGTTTTTGCTTTCTCGAGGTTTTGGTCTGATCCCGAGAAATCATCCTACTTCATGCCCCCAAATTGAGAGATGTTGGCATGGTTTAATTCTACTAATTTAATTCGATTGGAGTTCTAAATTAAATTCAACTCTAATTCTATTGTAACCCAACTTTAGTCTAGAGTCTACAGTAAATCAACTTTGTTTCAATCGTAATTAAACTCTAATCTAGTTCTAGTTCAATTCTAATTTACTTTAACCTTAACTCTATTTTCCAACTAATATCTAATCTAATTTAGTCAAATTCAAGTCATTCAGTTACAAGTTTGCAAAATTTAGTTCAATTTATCCTTAAACTTAATTCCAACATATTCAAGGAAGTTCGGTTTGAACTTTTTATTTGAATTCGATACGTCATTCTATATAGATCCAATTTGAGGCTAATTCAATTCCAAGGCAACCCGTTTTAGCTTAATTATCATTCAATTCTAGTTCTAAGTCAATTCCACCTGAATTCTAATCGAGCTCGAAGTTTAAAATTCTAGTTCACGTCAGATTCAATTCTCATTTAAATACGCTAGCTTAAATTCCTGATACAATTCAAGTTTACTTGCTTTACAGATCTAATTGAAGCTTTTTTGATTCAACATTTGATTATGTCAATTATGTCTAAGTCAATGCAAACTGAATTCTAATTCAGTGCTCGTTTCTCGTTTAATTTTGGTTCAACACAAATTTAGTTCTTATTCAGTTCTATTGGAAAATCAAAGTTTAATTCTTAAACACTTAGTCTAAGTGTAATTCTGGAGAGGAGGTGTTGCCTTCAAAATGATAGCTTTTATAGAGAGCTTTTGGACAATAAATAGATTTAAGCTCGAAAAAGAATAACATTAGAAGCAAATGTGAACCAAATCAGAAAAATCTGAATTAAGTTGGAATTGATATTATAGGATTGAACTAGAATTGTAAAGCTGGCCAATTTGAATGGTATAAGGATTAAGTTGAAGTCAATGAAAAACTAAATTAACATTAACATGTGATTAAAAAAGCATAGTTCAATAGATATGCATTATCATTAAATTGGAAAATAGAATCTTCCATGAGCTGCCCTCGTGTCAAAACAACTGCATCTTTACAGCCCAGTCAGTGAAGAGTTCAAACCTTGGGCAACACATGAAGCCAAGAAAACTGCACTGCACTCTCACAGCCCCCCGCGCTCTTATTCCACCCCTCCCAATTACATATAGTTTTAAGACAACGCTATCAACAAGTTAGTCTAACTAAAACTATTCAGTAACGTTATTCCAGCAATTCACCCCCCTGGAAAAACAATTTAGTGGACGGCCCATGTTTTAACACTCTTGCTTGGCACTCTTGTAAACACACTTTGAACTGTATTTTGGGGTGACATGGATGACACTTTCTGGGGCACTCTTGTGTGCGACACTCTTGCTGGGCACTCTTGCAGAAGGACGTTCTTGTGTCACTTGCATGCGGGACACTCGTTCGCGACACTGTTGCTGGACACCCTTTTGTCCGACATCTTTGTATGACACTCTTGCGGGACACTCTTCCTGGAGACTCTTTTTGTGTGACACCTTTCGAGGACACTCCTGAGTGGGAAACATGTTTGCTGCTTGCGCGAAACTTGTGCTTCACACTCTTGTAACACTCTTCTAAAACGACACTCTTGGGCCACACGCATGAGGGACACTCGTATGCGAGACCCTTGCTGGACTACACTCTTGTGTGTGCGACGCCTTTGTATGACAAACACTCTTGTGGGACGTTCTTTGTAGTGCACCCTTGCGTGACTCTCTTGCAGGACACTCTTGCAAACACACTCTTGCAACACAGTCTTGTCGGATCGTTCACGGCTTCCTCCATAAGTCACACGTCCATTCGTTAAAACGAGCGTCTCGCACCTGACTTTCTGAAGTGACTCACCATGTCTCCAAAGTGAGCGCTTCATACTTTATACTTCCCCCACAAGTGACCCATCAAACGTGTACCGTCATGTCTCCAAATCATGCGAGGCCTAAAGTGGGAAGTGTCATCAGAGCAACGACATCAAAGAGCAGCCAAAAACACGCCAATCCCAATGGCACCCCGACATTGACCTGCAACCAAACGTCGCCACCTGACGATTTCCTGCACCTGCCACGACAACTGCATCCCAGCACGTCCAACATCAAGCACAGCGCCTGCCACGAAAAGTGACCATGCCTCATGGGCCTCATCTTGACATGTCTAACACAATTCGCATTGATATCATTGATTTCCGCACTTTCTGAGCACACTCGCATACACTCGCACCAGCCAAAATCGCAGTTTTACATGAGAATTGTCACGAAAATACATCTCTGAGGCAAGCTCCTCACTCAAGAACAAACCTGTCAATGGTACAACCACATGCAACACCTCCAAAAGACCACCTTGCTAACACCAATCCCAATGGCACAGCGACGAAAGTGCCGACCTAGCAAACTGCTGCATCATGTGAGCCCACTTGCAACAGTCTGCTACTTTACACGAATCGGACATGACGTCCATCCATCAAAAATGTCCTCCAAAGGCTTCAAACCAGGGTCGACGCTACGAATCTGCGACGAGGAGGCAAACACCAAACAACACAGGGCGAACACAGGTCCAGCCCCCATCATAAACGGGGACTCTTCGTTACACATTCGGGAAAAACATCGAAAAACACATAACAACAGTCTCTCTTCTCAAGGTCTCCTGCGGTCCCTCGCCAAAGTGTTGATGGTCTAGTTCGTGCCTCCTCCAAAACTCTCCGAAAGCCGTGCTCGCCATTCACTTGCTTTGCCTCGAGATTACACATTGATATCGTTGTGCAAATTTATGCAATTTTTGTCATTGACATTGCACATAGAAAGATAGAAACATGCGTTTTGCCTAGGTCTCAAAGCAGTTGTTGCAAGTTTGCGTGGTATTTACAGTGTTCCCGATAGATTTTGAGCGAGTGTGCTCTCCCAAGCACACCCGCTCTCCAGAACTAATGGTCTACTGTCGAGCCGAGGGTATGCGATATAACTGAGTATTACTATTGACTATATATATACACACATTTTTAGGAAAAGTGAAGGTGCAAGTTTAAAGCATTCGTCCTTTGAACGCCAAACAACTAGCCCCGTTTGTGGATCCAGAAGGTGTGCCGGGGAGCCGTCTGCCAAGCATCAAGTGGCATTAGCACGACCCGCAGTACGCTGGTGGCCAACGAGCTGGTGGCTGCAGCTGTGGCTGAAGACATACCATGGTTTGCCTGAGGCACAACGAGAAAGCAAAAGAACATGTGTTAAGGGCAGTCTAAAGAAGAGAAGAACTAAATGAAGACAGGGCATGGTAAGGCCCCCTGTAAAGAGGGCCTCACCTTCGAATAATTGTGTTCTCTCTAGACCCTTCTATTTCTCGTTCCCAACATTTTCCAACTACTTGTGAATTTGCCGGGCTCAGCTCCAGTCCGTCGCTGTTAAAAGGCCCTCGTTCACAGCCAACCCACCTCACACACCATGCGAAGAATTTCTGGGTTTGACTTCAAGTTCTTGGAGGCTCCGAATCAAGTTGTAAGGCGTAAGTATGATGCAAAAGCAACTTTGCTATTCAGCGCTTGCAAACAGCTAATAAGAAATGCCAATGCAAATTAAGCAACCAAAACGTAGGATTGCGGATTGGAGCAACGCAGGCACAATTCCTGTCTTTCAGCTCAAAGGATTCAGTGATGCGGACTAATGATCAACTGCAGGCTCTTCAACTTGACTAGTTGCAGCATGTCCACTGTTCGTGTACACAAACAACCTGTGTTGCTGGCATTACTGGCACTTGTAGAACGTTTTATATATTCCAATCCTGCAAGACTTACCCAATTCATCCCCATTCAATGTTAACGGGTACATCATACATCATGGTACATTAATAAACCGTGTAGCCGATGGCAACAAAAACTCCAGAACCCCTAGACCAAAGGATCCTGCCACTCATGAAAGTCTGGCCTCTGTAGAAGCGGCGAGGGCCACCTTCTGCATACAAAGCACGGATAGCATCGATCGCAGTCCCACCATATCTGTATTGGTAGTTTGTCACTGTGTGCCTGAGCGGTTGAAATCGACAATTCGTCAAACATGCATGGGCCTGGTTGGGGGGTATTACTGGCACCTTAAGCCGAACTGGTCAAACTGTTGTCATCCAATTCATTGAGAGGTAGGATTGTATATAGGATGCTTTATTATTACAGAAACGGTTGAGATTGATAGTCTATAAATGTCTATAACCTTTTCAACTCTCCCAGTAAGGAGTGTCCGAATCTGATTGACCGAGCTTAGCTTCACTTTTCAATTTTTCTGCCGTTTGCATCCATAGGGCGAGTGGCTCAAACACCAAGATGCAACAGCGGGATGCAAGAACCGCTGCAGCGTTTCATTGTCTTGTTCAAACAGCGCTGTCCTAACCTGTGAAGACGAAATCTCTGGAAGTTCAGGCCCAATAAGGAAAAGCTTTGTCTCCTTGGCCAAACTTTGAAGCTTTTCCGTATACCCTGGCCGGCCGACTGTGATATAGCGCTCATCTTCGACTGCCCAATTCCACTTCTCATACTTCAGGACATCGTCTGCCCCGTTCATGTGATACTGAATGAATTGAAGTCGAGACCAATGAAGGTCATTCTGGTTCTGGAAGTCGTGCAAAACCCAACTTTCTCTCAGGTAGCTAACGCCCATCCAAGAGATATCCGCCGTCGCCAGGTCAGCAAGCATCGCACGGTTAAACCAATCAATCATCTCTTCACCTTTCTCTTCGAGCTTCTGCCAAACATGGTTGTCAGAGTTCAAGCTCAGTGTTCCCAGGACCTGGGCAAATTCATCGGGCTCCTTTGCAACAATCAAGTTGCGAGCCACCTCAAAAGCCATCGTATGAGCCTTGGTGATAGGGCAGCACGAACCGGTCATAGTGATAACCGCTACTTTACTCCCATCCTTGAGGTGACGAAGCAAAGGCTTGAACTTCTCGTGCAAATGCTGGTTGCCCCAGTTTCCCGAATCACCACGGCTCCAGTCATCACCCTGTTCACTCATGGCAAGCTCAAAGCTGGATCCAACCGCATGTCAACTTGGATTAGCAACTAGATGTGCTGTACATTGATATGCGGTGTACAAACTCCATTGTCAAAGGGCTGGAATGCCCGCATTCCCAGCTATATAATGTCAATATATGTCATCAATATAATAAACACAACGACGCGACGACTAACCACAAAAACATACGCACATTACATGACATGTTCAATCATATTCACCGCTCTCGGCTCGAGCCAACAGCTGCATGATTAATTTGTAGGGTTATTCGCCGTGCCTCGATTCGATCTTCCACCACTCACAGTCACAGTGCCTTATTGAACTAATTGTGGCAACGCGTGGTGTCACGGACTCACAAACACACATATGTCATATAGTGACTCTGCCGTAATTCTCGAGCATTCTGGATATGACTTCCACGCGGACACAAACACAAGCAACCTGGAATGCCAAATCTTCAAATCTGGTGCGAACCCAATCTGACATGCACCAAGAAGCATCCACATAAATGTAGGCACGCACACAGTCTGGACAAGGACAGCAGCCACCCCACCACGAAGTGCGCTGGAAGATGCATCCCCGCGGAACGTGCTCGAAGATGATTTGTCCGCGTTGCACGCCCTGCATTGGGCAAGTCAAAGTGTATACATTGAGCGAACGCTGAGCAGCTAAGCAAATCTCCGTGTCAAATCAACAGTTTGCCGTTGCATGTCTGGGTGAGAGAATTACGTAACAAATCCAAACAGCGCCTGTTCTGCTGTAAGTCCATTGCCACGGGCGGATGGATCTTCTGATTCATTTGGAAGGACAAAATATTCTTCTCTAAGGAGGCACTGCACTGCCAAATTGGAGCAAAACGGAAGCGATAGGCTCAGTGATGTGACTTGAAGTGACCAAAGGACATCGCTACTAGGAGCAAGGACGCTACTAGTAGCTCCTGGCCTTACTACTAGAAACAAGGACGCTATATTAGGTGGAGGCCATCGTAAGTAGGTTGGAGGCCATCGCTACTAGGAACAAAAAACTACTAGTAACAAAGGCAGCATCTGAGTACTCCAGCTTGTTGTTTGTAACTGAGGCCCCGCCTCCCTACTTAATGAAGTCGGCTAAGTAGGCGTCTACTTCATTGAGTAAGGGAGGTAAGCTACTAGTAACTGGACGCAGGATAGCGCTTGCACTAATGGTTTGGTTCCTACTGCAGGCTTTTAGGGAAACTTTGATGATTCATGACTCTGACAACCCATGACTGAAGCTCTGGCATCATGGGGTAAAAGGACAAAGTGTTCGGCACTTGGATCACCTCTGAGAGCTGCTTGAAAAAGAGCAACCTTACCAGTACAGCACTTTGATTCAGCTTGCAATAGTTTGATGTCATTGAGTCATTGAGTCATTGAGCAATGCTTAATGACCTTTGCATTCACAAACTTTGTGAACAAAACTCCACACGTCACGTGGTTTCCAAACCCCATACATCATCCGCATGCATTACTTGCTTGGCCTCTGCAGCCATCAGTTCGCACCAGCCAGTGGCAACCTGGGCAAAGTGAAGGACAATACCCGTCAATACCCTGCTCGAAAGCAGTGGAATGACTGTGATGATGTGTTGTGGGGTGCTGGTGGCGAGAAGCAAGGAGCATCTCCAATGGAGCAAAACTGCATCCGCTCTGTAATGCGCTCAAGAAGCGTTGTGTGACGTGATGCAAGATTGCCTTGCATTCTACAAAACTGTTATATCCGGCATTATACTAGTATATTTTTGGCCGGGAGTGAGCAAAAAACTTACTATCTGGTATGCAAATGAAACGGTTGATGTGCGTGATTGGTTTCCGCGGCTCTGTTTCTCTCCAACACCATGTTGTGCCATACCTTAAAACATCTAAACACGTGTCATTCTAAAACAAAAACATATATACTTACGGACTGAAACTTAGAATGCCTTTTCAAATCCCAAAATTTCATCGCGCACACTTAGAATGCGCCTCCAAAAATGTACACTTAGAATGCTACGCCCCTATCCCCATATAATATGAAAAGGCTATCCAAGTTTCAGTCCAGCAAGAATTCAGTCTCAAGATATCAATTACCTTTGTAAAGGTGAAGATTACCAAGGATGTTAATATAGATTTGTTCATAGCTATATACACATGTCATCATATATCCACATACATTTTCTGGAGTTGGATCCACATCCACCACATGACATACTCCCAACCGACCGACCGACCGACAGCAACCACCCAGCCAGCCAGCCCACGGAATGGGCTAAGTTGCCTCGCGCTTCACATCAGTTCTTTTTGACCACGCCGGTGCACATGTTGTATGTATCTGTATATGCACGGTCGGTTTCCCCGGCCCCATTGGATATCCTGGCTCAGCCATAAAAACCGAGCAACCCCTGATTTCGGGCGAT